ATCAGAAGACCCCTAAAGTAAAGAAAAACAAGGCTGTAGTAGGAGAGAAGGAATTAAATTTTATCATTGCATACCTGATTGTAAGCTCTACCAGTAAAGGGTCCCGCTAAGGTCTCCAAGAAAATTGAGGGACAGTTATGCTTCCTATATTTCCTCTGCCAGCATCCCAGTTCATCATGTAAAAGATATTTGTGTGTATGTGCTCTGCCCATCTTGCGCAACACAACCAAATGTTCATTATTTCTGCCTTAATAGTAGTGTAGTCAAGATGTTCCAACTATTTGTCATAGCTCAGGTTTCCTACACTGCTGAACACAAAGATAAAGCATGAGGGGATTTCTCCACCTTTGTACAAAGTTCAAATCTCAACACAACTCCATGGCAAGCATAGCAGCTTTATGGACTTCTAGAGGTTGATGATACCACTCTGTCTGCAAAGCTTTTGTACTTAGTAAAAGGTAAGGCTAGCTGTGCACACAGGAGACACAACTTCTCCACTGATATTGGCACAATCTTTCAAAACACTTCCATGACAAATAAACAGTTGGAGAACCTGAAAATCTGTGCTATATGGAAGACTGAGACCTGCAGAGACACTGGAAAAATCAATTGTTCTGACATTGAAAAGCAAATCCTGATTCCCAAATAGAGAGCCATGCGTAGCCTGGACCAATACTGCCACACAAAATAATGCCAACAGGATAGTTTTGTGGTCCTTTTTTGTTTGTTTGTTTTGTAATGGGTCCTCAGAGCATTCCAATATTCCTCAAAAGCAACATAAATTTTCTTGGATAGCTGTAACACTCAACGTGTCACGGTCAGTGACTGATGAATGTTGTTCAAGAGTTTGCTTTTAATTCATCTCTGAGTTTACTGAACACTGAGAAGCATACCAACTTTCAGAAGTGTGTCTGCAATGCCCACTGTGATTCAGCACTTAGAAATTCAGCAATTTTTTTTGTTCTTTTTCTGGCAACATCACTTGTTTTGATTTTTTCATCGCATTTGGGACAACTGATTAAATAATGTTCTCTGAAAAAATATTTCCTGACTTAAATTCTTAAAAATGGTTGCTCCATCCCCTACATAATCAAGATCTTGCCGGTCTGCTTTCAGTATGGAGACAGTTTGAGTCTATTATCTGTTTGAAGCAACTTCAGCTGCCATCTTGCACATCCAAAGTGTCTTTATTGAGCACTTTTGGAGCATTTTAGAATGAGGTATTCTCAGATGTTGGTAGTTAATGAACTGCACATAGGTTCTGACCGTAGCTCAGATGGGAGACAGCGAGTTAAATCCTTATTCCAGAGAAACATAAAATGGGTGGGAACTGAGGTCTGCTGTCTCTCTCACAGTCATATGGGAGCTGTTTCACTCCTCACGATATCGAAAGGAAAGACAGAGAGCAGGCAAGAAGGAAAGATTTTCTAGCCTAGTTTTGTCTGCTTTTATTTCCACTGCCTGACCTACAGTTCTTTAATTGCTGAAAACACTGGAAGCATGAAAAGAACATCTTGAGTGCCACAAGCCAAAATAGCATATTGTAAAGCAGATGTAAAACAGTTCCTGCAGGTGGGAGAGGTGGGTTCAGGTTCTCTCCAACAAGGAAGATCTAAACTAAGTCATCAAGTCCTAGCTGGCTTTTCCACTGAGTGTTCTATCATTTGACCAGTTAAGGTGACTCACTCAAATTGCTGCCTCCTCCTCTAGTGCTTTATTTCCTTTGCTTTTTCACATATCTTACTTTAATAATCATTCAATGAAATGTTTGTTTGCTTGTTTGTTTTTCTTTTGCACAAATAGTCTAAATAAGTACATTGTGAGAGGAATAAAACTGAAGTTATTTTTAATTATTTTGAGCTTGGCAGCCTTTATGTGCATCACTCTTTTTATTAGCTGGCAATTACACTTTTGGTGATGTAGAAATAAGAGCAATTGGATGGGACAAATAAATCATTTTCATCTCTATATAGCTTCCATATATTAAAAACTTCACAGAATGAAAGCAGGGCTGACAAATTATGAGGAAAAACAATTATGGTATATAAAAGTCTTAGAATCTTTTTCCTTGTTTTTTTCATCAAGTCTGAAGTTAGTGAAGAAGGCTTGATAGGGGTCTGTAATTGCTTAGTTTGTTAAAAACTGTTGTAAATGATTCCGGCTTTGAGAAAAAATGTGTCCTGGTTTCAGTTGGGGTAGAGTTAATTTTCTTTCTAGCAGCTGGTATAGTGTTATGGTTTGGATTTAGTACGAGAATAATGTAGATAACACACTGATGTTTTAGTTGTTGCTAAGTAGTGCTTACCCTAGTCAAGGACTTTTCAGCTTCCCATGCTCTGCCAGTAAGAAGGTACACAAGAATCTGGGAGGGATAGCCCAGGACAGCTGACCCAAACTGGCCAACGGGGTATTCCATGCCATATGATGTCATGCTCAGTATATAAGCTGGGGGGACTTGGCTGGGTGGCAGCGACAGCTGCTCGGGGACTGGCTGGGCATCAGTCGGCAGGTGGTGAGCAATTGCATCATGCATCACTTGCTTTGTATGTTCTTATTCTTCTTTTCATTCTTATTCTTACTATTATTATTATTCCTACTACTACTACTACTATTTTACTTTATTTCAACTATAAAACTGTTCTTATTTCAATCCCTGATTTTTTTTTACTCTCACTCTCCTGATTCTCTCCCCTATCCCACCGGAGGTGGGGGGAGTGAGTGAGCGGCTGTGTGGTGTTTAGTTGCTGGCTAGGGTTAAACCACAACAAAATGTCTTGTCGGTCTCTTCTTTTGTGTTCTCTCCCTCTGCTTCCATTACCCACTTCAAGGCTTTTACTTTCTCTGCTAGGCAAAGTGCCCAGAAGCCAAGGGAGTTAGACAAGGCTGTTTAGTTCTGCTTCTAGGCTAGTGTCAATTGCAGCTCTGGGAATCAGCTGTTTCTGCTACTAGTGTCTGTAATGGTTATGTTCAAAACAGCATATGTCATCATGTCATCAACTTATGTCAGAGACACATTCTTCAAAACAGGTACTGGGACTGAGCACGCTGGTTTGCAGTGACAAGCAAATAAGCAGAAGAATAATATCTTAATATCTTTCTATTTTCTTTTCTGCCTTTCCATTTTATGAGTTTTTAGTCAAAATATATGTGTATCTTACCTTTGACAACACTGTATACTGCTGTGTAAAATGTAACCTGGTAGAAATTTGTATCTTTGTGACTCACAGTGGAAAACTTGCTATGTATCAAAAGAAACGTAACATTATGAAAGAAATGAAATATGGTGTTACTTTGGGTGTCTCCATAGTATAGAATTTTTCTCAGGGTGTTTTTAAAAATTTCTATGATTTTAAAAGCTTGAAAGTAATATTCTTATGTAGCTTTCCGTTACTTTGGATGATACATACTACAATGAGTATATATTTATTGTTTTATTTCTTCATAGATATTTCCTTGATCATAACACAGAAGAGGATAGGTATTTCACCATTGATGCTAGTACTGGGACCATTAAGACTGCCAGGATCTTGGACAGAGAGGAGACACCTTGGTACAACATCACAGTGGCTGCTTCTGAGATAGGTAAATAACATATTTGACACATAGTATTGAAAAAAATTAGAAAGGAAAATAATAATTTTCAGATTTTAAGAAACACTGTCTTGAGATGTTGTGTTCTTTATAACACCATGGGTTTTTTTAGCCAGTTTGGATAAAGGAGAATTTTCTGTATGTGTAAATGTCCTAATTCCACAGAACAAATAAACAAAACACTACATGCTTATGTGATTCCAGCTATGTAAATTTACCGTGTTTTTCTGTATGTGATAGAAGGCTGCCAGTTTACCCAGGAACAATTCCAGGCATTCAGTGTCCTAAAATCAACAGCTTGTCCTGTTTGAGTTTCATATTTCACATATTTTAGAAGATAATACTATATAGTACTGTCTGAGAAATTCATCCTTTCTTCTTGTATCTGCTGTTAACCTATTTTAGTGAATTGCATGTTAGATACGTCAATACTAATTTATATCTGACAGGTGCCTAGTAATTGCTGATTATCAGGGTATACCTCTGGCCTTTTAATAGGCAAATTGCTGAGTAAAGATACAATAAATACTTGCCTGTGCATTTGAAAGGTCTCAAAGTCTGATGAATTTCCATTGCCTCAGATAAGCCCTGCAACAGTCAAGAAATGTCTGACTGAGTAGTCCCAGATAAATATTTTTGCATGAGGCAAGGACAGTTTAAAGAACATTTCAGTTAACCTTTTTATTACAGGGTATTTATTTTGGCACAGTCAAAGTTTTAAAGTTAAAAAACTCAACAAACCAAATGAAAAAAAACAATCCCAACTTGGATCAATAGATCCAGTCCTGCTAAGTACTCTTCATGATACTGTCTTTCAGTGGCAGTGATTTTGATTAAAACTGTGAACTAATTTTATGTACATTCCTTTCCTTTTTCTTTTTTTCCTTTTTCTTGGTGTATTCCATTATTGCTAGATGACACAATATAGGTTTTACCTGTAACAGGTGCCACTGACATTATTGCCCCTCTGCTTTCATCTGTTTCATCTCCAGGTTAAAATGGAATCTGTTCTGCTGCTGCATCACTAGCACATGCTACAGAATTAACAGCATGTACATATTTTATAAGGACAACAAATTGTTTCTTATTATTGTACCTGCTTTTGCAACTAAATTGACATTTTGAACTAAGTAAATTTCTATTGTAAATAGTAAAATCTAGAGTTTTATGGTTAGCCCTTTAAAAAAGGTAACCATTGACACTTCAGTGTGCTTGACAGTGTCTTCATATATACCATGTTATTTCAGTGCAACATGAAATAAAATATAATTTAAACCTAATCATAACCAGGTGCACAGTAAGTGTTAATTTAAATTAAGATTTAAAAGCCACATTGGGACATATTGAAAAAAGGAGTAGTCACTAGTCTTTTGGGAAGCCATCCAAACATAATTATTTTGTAGAAATAAATCTCAATAGCGTTAAACTTAAATGTAGCTTTCTACACATTATTTATTTTGCATAGTCAAATGAGTGGTAATACACATACTGTGCTGAGAGAATGGTATGGAAAATGGAGAAGGATTATGTTTATAACTAAAAGAGAATAGAATGAATAATGAGGATGAATTGCCATTTTTTTTAAGACAGCGTGTTTAGAATTCTACATTCCAGGTGCAAGTTGTTACAAGAAAACAGAGATTTTTTTTTTTTTTCCCCTTGCATTGCCTTTCTTATGGTTAAAGTTGGGGTTGGAAAGATAAGTAAATCTATAATGTCAGTTTGAAAAACAATTTGGTTATGAAAAAAGGAAGAGAGAGCAGCAAAGAAGAGATGGATGGCAGGCAGACTGATAGGCAGCCTAAATGACAGGCAGCCTTTCCTTGTGTCCACTTCTTTGGCCATTTTCTTACCTAGAGTAATTTGAAAATTACAACACTGCTGAACTCTTCCAAATCCATTGTGAAATCAGTATTTGGATCTACAATGGAAGAAGGAGCATATGCTGCGTATACAGCATGAAGGCCAAAACTCTTATGTTAAGTGCTATCTATTCCATATCTATAGCCTTTTATGGCATTCACTTTCAAGTCCATGCACAAGGAGTTGCAGAACTAAGACTAAAGCTGAAAAATAGGTGGAAGGCTATGACCAAAACGTTATTTAGCTGTCAGAGTGGCAATCTTCAAGTTCATCTGACATGGTAGAAGGCATTCGTAGCTTCTGACACCATTTGCTTAGCCAGGAACATAGCAGAATCTGTAAGGCCCAGAAAGATTGTACTGCTTCAACAATAAGAGGTGCTCTGCTGAAATAATGTTATGGTTGTATTTAGTTTCTTGAAGTGTTTTCCCCTCTTGACTTTACACTACACTTCACTGCCAGAATTCAGTTTCTACTGATCGTCCTTTGGGCAACTATTTTTAGCTGTGCTTATTTTATGTAAAAGAAATTTAGAATCAACATCATATTTCTACCCTCACATGTATGATATCCTCATGCTTCAGCCTTATTGTTTCTGAACCTTTCATAAGACATTTACTTTCACTTTTAGTCTCAGTATGTGATATACACCCTGCATTGATCAAATGTCCCCTCTGAAACCAGTGGAAGTTCCACCACTTTCCTCTGTGGGAGTAATGTTGATGTAATGATCAGTGTTTTTTTCTGTTTACACAGATACTTCCTAAACATTGCCACGAGAATGGATGAGGCAATCCTCTTTTTCTTTGACATTCACTGTTCTTTAACAGCAGCATACAGTGAGGAAGAGTGGGATTTTGGTGTCCAGGACACACTACTGAAGATGTTGCTTTGATTGTTTCAGTACTAGTAGTTCCTGAAAATTCCTTGTGGTATTAGGGAACAAGAAAGATGATAAAATAATATTATATTTTATATTGAAGGATCTACAGACTATGTTTGGGGCAGGGGGAAGGACTACAAATTGATGGTAACAGGATTTTAAAATACGATTTCACATAGAATTATTCACATTTTGTTAGCTTGTTTGAATTTTTTGAAAAAGTTAATAAAAGAGTATTTGAAAGAAGAAGGAGATACAATTTGCTTAGCTCTATTAAAGGTTTTTGACCAAGTCTTTGATAAGAGTAATGGAAATAAGAAAATACAGAGCAAGTACACGAAGTTTTATAACATGAAAAACTGATTTAGAGGAAAGAAATACAGTCATAGTGAATGACTGTTCCTTTGGGAGTGGAAAAAGTTAAGGCTGAGCTATTTTAAGGACTGGTGTAGGATCTGCCAATTAGAATTCTTTGATAGCACAGAATGATAGAAGGTGATGCAGATTCCCAAATAACCTCCCTAGCTGCTAAGAATTAAGTAAGATTGGGAGAAACCCATGTAAGAACAGACATATTGAAGTATGGGCCAGATAAATGAATGGTGAAGTGGATTGAAAATCCTCTTAAATGGCAGGCTCAAAGGGTTGTAATCAGCAGCCCAAAGTACAACTGGAGGCCAGTCGCTAGTGGAGTACCCCTGGGGGCTGATACTGGATGCAATACAGTTTAATCTCTTCATTAACAACGTGGTTGATGGGACAGAGTGCACTCTCAGCCAGTTTGCAAATGACACAAAACTGGAGTAATAGCTGATACACCAGAGGGTCATGCTGCCATCCAGGGGATCTCGGCAGGCTGGAGAAATGGGTGAGTGGGAACCTTGTGAAGTTCATTAGTAGGAAATGCAGAGTCCAGCACCTGGAGAGGAATAATACCATGCACCAGTACACATGCAGGCCCAACTGGCTGGAGAGCAGCTTTTCAAAAAAGGACGTGGAGGTCCTGGTGGGAGCAACTTGAACATGAGCCAGCAGTGTGCCCTTGTGGCAAAGGCGGCCAACTGCATCCTGCACTGCGTGAGGAAGAGTGTTGCCAGCAGGTTGAGGGAGGTGATCCTTCCCCTCTGCACAGCACTGGTGAGGCTACATGTGGAATGCTGGGTCCAGATCTGGGCTCCCCAGTACAAGAGAGACATGGAGCAACTGGACTAAGTCCAGTGAAGGGGCATGAAATCATTAAGAACTGGAGTATGTGTCATACGAGGTGAGGCTGAAAGAGCTGGGACTGTTCAGCCTGGAGAGTAGAAGGCTCAGAAGGAGCTTACCAGTGTGTTTAAATACCGGATAGGGGGAGTAAAGAAGATGAGTAAAGATGAGCAAAGATGAGGAAAGACTCATCTGAGTAGTATCCAGTGAAATGACAGGAGGCAACGTGCACAAATTGAAATACAGAAAATTCCATTTAAACATAAGAAGAAAAATGTTTTTACTGTGGGATTGGTCAAAAGCTGGGACAGGTCACCCAGAGAGGTTGTAAAGTCTCTGTTCTTGGAGATATTCAAAACCCAACTGGACATGGTCCAAAGCCACGTACACTGGTTGACTCAGCTTCGAGCAGAGGAGTTGGACTTGCTGATCTATGGAGGTGCCTTCCAACCTCAACCATTCTGTGATTTTGTGATATTGGGAACTGTGTGTTGAATGTGGAGAAGCAAAAGGACAACTCACAAATTTCTTGCAAATAGTGATGTATTCTCAAAGAAAATAAGTGGTTGTAAAAGTAATTGTGGGTGATTCAATTAAGGTTTCTCTGTAGTATATAGTAGTGCTGATAACAAAAGCAAAGCAATAACAGCAAAACCCCAAATCACAGCCCCTGCAAGAGAAAGGTGGCACTGAAGTATAAATGGATGGACTTCTGCCAGCTCCAAAGCCAATTTCAGTTAGAAAAGTAAACATGTACTTTGAAGTTTTCAAAGCAGTGCTGCAGATAGGACAAATAATAGTATCCTTGCAGTCTTTGTGCTCAATAAGAAGGAATAAAAGCTGCGGGGAGAAATAAACACTGGTGATTGAAGGAATCAGAGAATGTCTTGATTTGAGAATCAAAGCGAGGATTATAGCTTTCACTAGAAATTTCTACTTAGAAATATAGCAAGGAAGACTGTGTCAGGAAACTCCTTTCACATATTAATTCTAACAACTGAACTGAGTGTGTTCAATATCTGCTCAATAGACACAGAGC